TTGAAAGGATAAAAAGATACTGTGAACAACTCTATACATATACATTTGATAACTTAGTTGAAATGGTCTAATTTCTCAAGTACAGACTATCAAAACTCACCAAGGTGAGATAGACAATTCGAATAGCCTTGTACTTATTAAGGAAATTGAATTCATAGTTTAAAATATCCTGAAAAAAAAAGTCTTCAGACTCTGATGGTTTTACTGGAGATTTCTACCAGGTGTTTAAAGAATTAACACCAATGCTATATTAATCATTTCCAGATAATAGAAGAAGAGACACTTCCTAATCTTTTTATGAAATGAATGTTAACTCTGATACCGAAGCCAGTTAAGGATACAAAAACTACAAACTAATATCCTCATGAGTATAGATAGCAAAGGTTGCTCATAAAATATTAGTCAGTAGAATTGAGTACCAATACATCTTAGCATTATGTAAAAAGAAATACATCGTGGCCAAATGGAGTGAAGTCGGGTTGCAAGAGTGGTTCAATATTCAGAAATTAATGTAATCCATCATATTAAAGATTAAAGAGGAAAAATTACATGATTACACCTATTGATGCAGAAAGCCTTTGACAAAATTCATCACTCGTTCATAATAGAAATGCAGAAAACTAGGAATAGAGGGAAAGTTCTTCACCTTGACAAGGAATATCTACCAAAACATGTATAGCTAACATATTTAGAAGTGAAAAACAATGCTTTCCTCTGAAATTAGGAACAAGGCAAGGATGTTCTTTTTTACCACTGCTGTTCAACATAACATTCAAGTTCTAGCTAATGCAATGAAAGAAAAGACATATGGATCACAAAAGAACAAATAAAATGTTCTTATATGCAAATGACACAATATATCTAGAAAATCTCAAAGAATCTATTATAACAGTCTTAGAATTAATAAATGAGTTCAGTAAAGTTACAGTGTACCAAATCAACAAATTCATTCACATTTCTGTGTATTAGTAATGAGCATGTAGAAACTGAAATACTACCAATTAAAAAATTGCAGTTTTGTGAAAACGCTGATGAAAGAAATCAAAGATCTAAATAAATGGAGAAATGTACTGTGTTAAAGGACTGGAAGACTCTAAAGATATCAATTCTCTTCAAATTCATACACAGTTAACATAATTTCTATTAAAATTTCAGGAAATTTTTTTTGTAGATGTATACACAATTATTTTTAAATTATTTGAAGTCAGAGAATTTAAGAATAGATAAAACAACTCTGATAATGAATAAAGGAAAAGGAATGAGTCCACCTGATTTCGAGACTTATTATATAGCGATATTAATCATGACTGTGGTAGTGCCAGAGGGAAAGACACGCAGATTAGTAGGACAGAATAGAGAAATAGCCTACACAAGTCCAGCTGAGTTTCGACAAAGGTACAAAAGCAGTTCAGTGTAAGGATGGAGAGGCTAAAATATTGCTGGAGCAGCTGAGTTCCCATAGACAAAAAAAGTGGATCATAGATTTAAGTATAAAACATTAAAGTATACAACTTATAGAAGACAACATAGGTAAAAGCCTTCAGGACCTAGAGCATGTGAGAAGTTCTTAGTCATGACACCAAAAGCATTCGTAGAGAAAAACCCGATAAATGATACCCATGAAAATTCACAGTTTTTGCTCTCATAAAAACCCTGTTAGATGAAAAGACAGGCTACAGACTGGAAGAAAATATATGTACACACCACATAGTTGACCAGTGACTCATATATAGAACATAAAGAGTTCTCAAAACTCTAAAAGAAAACCAATCTAGTTAGAAAATGGGCAAAAGATAGGAGACATTTCACTGAGTAGTATATATGAATGGCAAATAAGCATACGAAAAAAATTCATTAGCCTTTAAGGAAGTGCAAATAAAGACTATGATGAGATGTCACTGCATGTCTATTAGAAAAACTTAAAGGAGAGGTAGCCATAATACCACATACTGGCTGGGATATGGAAAAAAACATATCTCTGTGCATTGCTGGTATGAATATTAAATGGTAAAGCCACTTGAAGAAGTAGTTTGGCTGTTTCTTAAGAGCTACACAGTACAATACAGTTTATTTAATAGCTTCATTTTTGAAGGCCGTTGTAACATTATTCTATCTTGATGGATAAATGTGGCTTATGAAAACACTGAGTTGAATACAATAGAAAATTGCCTTTTATTTCTGTAAGTCTGTATTAAGTTTAGAATAAAGGATTAGAGGCTATAATAGGAAATAGTTATGTAAATCTTTTAGTTTTGATAAAGGAAAAAGTGATCTTCAAGAAGGTACACCTACAGAAAAATATTGTTTTAGATTCTTTAAAGATTTTAAGCTTTCATTATCAATATGAATGAATTTTAGATTTGACTAGTTTACTGAAATCTGAAGGATATAGTTTATGGTGGGTAAGTATAGAAGTTAGTGCTGAAAATGTAGGTAAAGGTAAATGTAGTTCCAAGTTTCAAATTAAATTACTAATGTTATAAGCATGTCATTTTCATGTCTTGTCATTGTAGTATGGTTGACTTTTTGGGACATCCTCCTGAGTCTGTGGCAGGAAGTTCACACAGAGAAGGGGCACTTTAGAAACCATAGCAGTTAAGAATGTTGTCGTTATATCATTGATACATTTTGTAGCTGTGTTTGCATTTTTCTAATAAATAGTTTTCAGAAACTTAATTATTTCCCATTTTCTAAGAAGGTAGCACAATTCTGGTGTCTGATTTGGGCTTAAGTTCCTGGTATGCTACTTTCTGTAAATTGTTTATCATCTTTAAGCTTAACTTCATAGAATTATGAGGAATAAATGACATACAGTATTTCTAATGGTTGGTGAACACAATACCTGATATACGATAAGCACTCAAAAACTGTTAATCTTTTATTACTAGCCGGAAGAAGGCTTTCAGAGTGAACAATGTACAAATGTAGTTCTACATATCATTTTATTCTAGAGATATTTGTTAATAAATACTCTGGAAATAGAGCCAGTCACAAGCTATTTTAATGAGATGAATATGGTTTGGGTGAGGGCTGGCAGATTTTTGAAAATAACATGCCAAGCTTATCAGTCATTAACCATCTTCCCCTCTCACCTTGCTCTCAGAAGCTGCAGTGGTATGAAATATGGGATGCTTTTGGAGATACTGTTGGTTGATGCTAGGCCTGACTTAGTTTTCCATTACCTGGTGAGACCTGAGAATCGTCTTTGATTCTTTGCTTCTCTATACATAACCAGTTGGTCACTTAAGTGTTGCTGATTGATTCCCTTAATGTTTATTGGATTCACATTTTTATATTGCCACTGCTAAATCAGGTGTGCGTCATTTCTATCACAGCTAACAGTGGAAGCTTCCTAACTGGTCTTCCTGTTTCCTAACTAGTTGGAATTCTGCCCTGCCAGTCATACTAGAGGTAGCTTTCTAAGATGCAGATTTGATTATGTCAGTGGGGTTAAGAGCTCTAACTATGACAGCAGACTTTCTGGGTTCAAATCCCATCTCTGCCTTGTGTGATCCTGGGGAAATTCTCTGTCCTCAGTTTCTTCGTTCATTAAAAAATAACTGTTCAAATCTGACCCACAGTCACCTGGAAAGAGTTAAAAATACACTAATTCCCACCCCAGTTTCTGGTGTTCTAGATCTTGGGCGGGGTCAAGAAATCCATAATGTACAACAAACTTCTTAGTTGGTTCAAGTGCCCTTTTATGGGTCCTCTTGAGGAACTACGCATTTGTTTGCCTTTAGGTTTTTTTGCTCTTCATGTCTGATAGGTGATCCCCCTGTGGCCTGACTAACTTCTGCTCCTCCTCCAGAACTCGGTTCCAGGCTTTTCTGCTAGGGAGCATCTGACTTTCTCATTCTGGATTTAGCGTTTTAGGAAGTCACCACTGGTGCAACAGTTCAATGTTCTATGGTCCTCCTCAGATACACTCTCTACACTATAGGATAAAAAGGAACATGTTTCAACTCTGGCCAAAAATTTATAAAAGCATTAAATTTCTTTATGGCACTTAGCATTTTGCAGTTCCTGGTTTACTGGTTTGCCGTCTTTCTCTTCTAAGCTCCTTGAGAGTGAACCCTGTATCCTCAGTGTCTTGTAATAGAATCTTAAAATTATATTTATCATATAGTTAAAAGTTATTCTTTTTAGAAATTCTCTTTACTGAAATGAAACCTCTTTGTAACAGGGTGCCCATCAGTGGCGCCATATTGCATGAGGTCTTGGTTTTTTCACTGTGTCATTTATTTGGATCCATCTATTTTTTGCACTGTACATCTCAGACAGACTGACCTCTTGGTGTTCCGTAAGTTTTAACTGGAACTTAGTTGGGTTTACTTCAAGTAATATTGGTTGGTGAGGACATTGTGGGATGGAGCCGGAAATGAAACCAGGAATGTAAAAGGTTATGAGCAGGTTTCATTCTGGATTTTGGGGTGTTTTATGTGTTTTAGTTAGTGAAGCGTTCCTAATTCATTTTGATTTGGATGTGTGGTCAGGGCATTCAAACTTGGTGCATCTTAGTTTTTCCAAAATGAAATATTAGACTAGATCATCTCTAAAGTTCCTTCCAGCTCTAAAATTTCCATGTTCCGAGTAAAAATGCATAGGTGTCCAAAGATTTAGGTGTTGCCATTGAAAATCAAGTAATAAGACTTGTTTTCTCTCTTAAGTTCTCTTCATTGTATAAATAGCTCCAGACACACACGCAAAATTTGGTATCAACCAAAGTTAATTTTCCTTTCTTACTTACCTGAAATGCTTCATTATGGCTCTTTACAATTTGAATGTAACTCAAAGACTTGATTGAAGCAAATGCAGCAAGGCCGATAAGTTGTCATGACAGAACTTGCCACATGATTTTCCTCAGTGGGTTGCTAATGCATGAAAAAGGCTAAAATGATTTAAAACAAAACAAAACAAAACAAAAGAACTCTGTAGGGGAAGATACTTGATTGTTTTGCTCTCGAGTAATACTTAGGTCTTCTTTGTTTTCTTTTAAGTGCCAAGGATGACATTGATCTTGATGCCTTGGCTGCAGAAATAGAAGGAGCTGGTGCTGCCAAAGAACAGGAGCCTCAGAAGTCCAAGGGGAAGAAAAAAAAGGAGAAAAAAAGACAAGACTTTGAGTAAGTATATTTCAAATATATTTGCTTTTTATTAACTTTGGTCCTGGATTCACTTACTAAGCCAGTTCAAGACCTCAAAATATACTTTAATCTTTTCTAGTGAAGACGATATCCTGAAAGAACTAGAAGAATTGTCTTGGGAAGCTCAGGGCATCAAAGCTGATAGAGACACTGCCACAGTGAAGGTGAGTGGGCTGCTCCTCGACCGCGTGTCCCGTGTCCCGGCGCCGGCTTTAGGGGCTGCGTTCAGAAACCTTTGAGTAATGTATATCTGTTAGAAGGTTCTGTAAATTCTGATGCCAAAGGGGGAAAGCAATTTTTAGGAAAGAATGTCTTTTAAAACCTTTCACAGATAGGTTTATATCCTTTATATGAGAATCTAAAGATACCTGGGGATATGTTGCCTGTTCATAAAATTGGTGGTACATTTGGAGATGTAACGTTTCTCCACCTCCATTTTTCTATATTATATCTTTTTCATCCTTTGATTTTGGAGAAGCCTCGAAGTAATGGGAAAGTGATAGATATTTTTTCTTCTTTCTATTTCCTCCTTGGGCTTTGTGTGCCATTTGGAGAAGGTAGTAAATGTAGACTGTGATTAGTGGTGGCTTCTAAGCACCTAGATTCTGACATTCACAGTGAATGTGAGATGTGTCAGAGGCCTAGACTGGCTTCTGGTACTTGGTTGAGTTTTATGTCCTTATAAAAAGGACCTTGTTTTGAAATTATTTTGAGAATTTTTCTATATGTACTTAATGAAGTACATCACTGAAGACTCTCAATTATTTAAAAAAATAAAATATAACTCTTAATATTTCTAACAGTGGAAATTTTTTAGCCAACAGAAAATAATGAAGAAGAACCCACCTCAAAACAAGATAAAAAAAAGAAAGGACAGAAAGGCAAAAAACAGAGTTTTGATGATGATAGTGAAGAATTGGAGGATAAAGATTCAAAATCAAAAAAGACTGCAAAACCAAAAGCAGAAATGTACTCTGGGAGTGATGATGATGATTTTAATAAACTTTCTAAAAAAGCTAAAGGGAAAGCTCAAAAATCAAATAAAAAGTGGGATGGGTCAGAAGAAGATGAGGATAACAGTACGAGAATTAAAGAGCGTTCCAGAGTAGATTCTTCAGGAGAAAGTGGTGATGAAGCAGACGAAATTTTGCAGTCTAGAAAAGGACAGAAAAAAAGTCAAAAAAACAAACCAGGTCCTAATGTGGAGAGTGGGAATGAAGATGAAGACTCTTCCTTCAAAATAAAGACAGTGGCCCAAAAGAAGGCAGAAAAGAAAGAGCGTGAGAAGAAAAAGCGAGATGAAGAAAAGGCAAAACTGCGAAAGCTGAAAGAGAAAGAAGAGTTAGAAACTGGTAAAAAGGATCAGAGTAAACAAAAAGAACCTCAGAGGAAATCTGAAGAGGACGCTGTAAAATCTAGAGTGGCTGTTGATACTGGAGTACCCCCTGCCTCTGATGAGAAAGGGGAGGCGCCCACAGCCACAGAAGGTTGGTAACTAACTGTCCAGGAGAGGGCAGGAAGGTTCATATCTAGTCTTAAGTTTTGATTATTATGCCCCAGAGTGATTTTCTTGTCTGTCCTTGGTTGTAAAGGTGCTTGGTTGTAAGAGAGCCTTTAGAAAATCTCATCTAAGTACTCTTTGAATTGAGGTTTATTGTTAAACATTTTATGTAGTTTAAAATGTCTTTCAAGTGGTTTGTGCAGAGTAGGATTTTTATAGAATTTCCTTCACAAAACAATTTTTTTGTTGTTGATAGAGTGGAAGTTGCCTAATGAAAAATTTATTCTTTTAATAACTCAATGTCAGGTAATATTCCAAATCTTTGCTGTTTTTAAAAACCCCATTTGATCTATGAAATAGAAAAGTGAAAACATGCTAAAATAAGTTAACATCTTTTAAGCAGTTAACTGAGCTACTCTTTTGTACCAGAACTGATATTTGAAAAATAAACTTTCTTGCTAAATGTTCTCTTTAGTCGGAATGAAAACATTTAAAGACCAATTGATTCACATAGTTTTCTTTAGACTGGAAAACTGTTAATGGAAAAATTGGCATAGCTTTTTTAACCACTTAGCTTATGATCTGGAATATTTGAGGAGAAACACCATGAAAGTAGCTTTGTAATCTTTAGTTTTTTAACATAATGCTGTAGAATTCTTAGAATATAACTATATTTCTATAGTTTATCCTTCTAATATTCCCTTAGGTAGGCATCATTCATATCATCCCTGTCTTACAGAAGCAAAACTAGCTGCAGAATTGAGGCAGGAATTGAGACACCAGG